TTAAAAAAATAACGTATGGAAAAAAGATTTAAACTATCCATAATTTAGAAGATTATTTGAACATTTATGGTATTAAAAAAATATCTTTGAAAATTAGAAAAATGAAATGGAAAAAAACATAAAACAAAAAACAACGTAGAATTAACGGTGATATATATATTAACAATTTTACTATGACCGTCAACGTCTATACGCGGGTACCGTTTATTTCTGGAAGACGATATAGAATTATGGGAAACAATATATTATTATTAAATAATTGCAAATTTTAGAACATACGAGTAGGTACGAGAAATACGGTTTGTACATCGTTTTTTATACTTGAAATGTTATTGCAATCGAGTGTATTACAATGCAATATTATGTTACGTAATTATCCAAACAAAATATGCGTCTTATGAATAAATTGCTATCATCGTGAATTGATACATCACTAAATTTCAACGTATAGTTTCTTGAAAAATACGAATACCGTTAAGTTTCTAACAACCGATTTTGTACGATATACACAATCGGTGCATTTTAGCCATCTTTGATATGTACCCTTGTCCTTAGATGATATCCTTTTGTACCGATCAATTATAATGTTGTTAAATAAGCTTTGAAAACTGAATAAAGTTTAACATTTTTAGTATGGATTTTGAGTTCAAGGTTAAGAAGTTGCAGGGAGCGGGTAGTGTAAATTAATAGAAAAAACAATTACAGAACACCACAAATGCTGTTCAGGCGGAGAGAAATCTCGTGTACAAACGATATGTTAACGTTTTGAACAACAACAACAATTATACATATTGTTCGTCTGATTCGAGATACAAATTATAAGCTCTGGACCGACTATGATGTGTAGGGAAAAGTTATCATTTCATTATCCGTACGTGCATATCGACTCCGTAGATTTTATTACATCAATTCGGTTGCATGTTTTCAGGGAGCAGGTGAAACGTAAGCCCGGGAAACCTAAAAACTGTATGTTTAAGTGTTCGAATGGTTTTCGTACGGAATAATCTCAATGCTTTAATTTTCGTCCAACCTAATTGTTCAAAATCAGAGATTTCTCCCTGTAAATTAAATAAGTATTTGATTTTTATGCCACTTGGACTTGGAATATTGGTAAATCAGTTATTTTCTCTTCGCAGTAACAAAACTTTCCGGATAAATATGTTACTTTGCTCTGCACTGAACGCAAGGTGGCGAAACGTGGAACATTTGTTGCCGGTATAAACGTATAACATCCCATTTAGAAACCATAGGCGTTGAATAGTTTTCTGAACACGTTTTATAATAAAATATGAAAATATAAAATAAAAATGTCCAGTCAGCGTGTTGCCGAATCATCTCATTTCTTGCTTATTACATTCACACGCGGAAGGTTCAAATTTATTATAACTTTGTCGTATATTAATATTATTATTATTGTTGTTGTTGTTGTTGTTGTTATGATTAGGTATAAAATTTGAACGTGACAGGTGTCACGTTTGAAAAAATAAATGCCGAAACATCGTTTTCGTATTTACTTTTTAATACTTTTCGAGACGCGCTCTCTGCCGCGTGAAAGGAGATAAAATTAATCTCAACGATTAAACGATACGTTTCATGTATCGTCATGTCCGTGTAGGCCATTGACATGTCAATCTAAAGCCATCGTAGGTTTTTGTTTTATTTTATTTCATTTTTGCGTACAAATTATACGTGCAATAGCGTTACAACATCGTGTCAATGCCATTGATGTGAAATCGTAAACAACAACTACGTCGGACATTTTTCTTAGATAATCTACTATGCTTTGTTTATATTTTGTAAACAAAAATCGTTTTTTTCAAATAAAACGTGAACGTGATCGATGTTTGTATTTCTAATGAATTTGAGCGATTTTCGGGTAAATAAAATGTATTTATCATTTTAAAAATATATGTATAGTGAATAAATATTGATTATAATATTTTTAAGTATAGGTTTCAAAAATTAAGGAAATATACCTAATACATTTAGCGGAGGGCTCGTTTATACAGAACGCGGGTATGTGGTTTATAAAATATAAGATAGAAAAATTAAAACGACAAATGATCCTTTTAACGTTTAGTCCACAAATCTCAGAAATAAAGTCAGAAGAATCAGATTGAGAGAGAAAAATAATAACATATATAATTTAATAATAACATAAATGTATTGTTTACTGTCTGTCTATACTTATCACATATTTATGTTGACGATAGTAACTATAGAGTAATATTTTTGTCTAGTGCCCAGGCATACCCGTGCAAGAACGTAGCCAGAAAACAAATTTTTGTATGGGGGTTAGATCTTAAATATTTTTTTTGACAATCAAATTTTAAAAATTTCAAATGTAATAGGCATTTAAATCTTTCAATTCTATCTTAAGAAAAAATTTGGTCTGAACCCTCAAGCCTCCTGGCTATGACCTTGCATCCATGCACACCCTGTGAATGATTGTACGGATTATACGTAATTTCGACGTGCGTCGAATGGACACCGTCAATTAAAGTTTAATAGACAATCGGACGCACACGACATTTAAATGCACGAAATTTTGACGTATCGATGATTTAACGCATTTTATGGTACGATTATACCATTGTTCGATAAAAAAATATTCGTTAAGAACTCCATGTAATCGATGCAAAACAAATTTGACGCAAGATAATCATGTATTAATTGTTATTGTTTTGAACGACCATATCATAGAATTTAAACGTAATACATCTTACAATAGACACAACAACACCGGTACACCAATACAAGATGTATATGTTCACCGAGTGTTGGCCGGAATTTGAACATTCAGGTGCCCTTATGGGCCCCATACATAGTCAGTTATGAATGTTATGATTGTCAGTCTTATGAATGACATGCATGGTCAACCATAGTTAGAAATACACGGTCAATCATGAATGACAATCGTTTGATAAATTCTTCACTTTTAGATTAAAGATAAAAACAAATGCCGTCAACTAAATCTATCATAGCCTATGCCCTATTGACTAATTGTAAATTTACATCCAAATTTTCCTGAAAAATGAAAGAAGCTCACATTACAATTATTATTGCTTTGGCTACAAATAATGCAGGCGAAGGAAGGAAACGAAAGAAAAAACAAAGAATATGGTCAAAAGAATGGTTTTAAAAAGAACCAAATACACACATAACCTACTAGATGAAATTTTATTGACATCAAATGAAGATTATGCAATTATGAATTACGCAATATTATAACTTAATATTTATAACAATATGTTTAGTTAAAATATAATTACTTTATTAATTAATAATAATTTTAATAATTAATATGAAGGTGAAAAATATTACACGTATAAGCACATGGTACAACTGTGATTATGTTTTTGTTAATGTTTTGAATAATAACGAGTATAAATCATTACCACACATGGTCAGTCATGATTGTCACTCTAATTAAAAATAAAAATCAAACATGTTTGAAATTCATTAGTTACAAAAAATATTGACATTCATCAACATATATGGTCAATCACGAGTGACAATCACAAAAACTGACTTTCATAACTGACCGTGCAGCTTTAGCCATCATTTTAAATGTTTACAAAACATAATCAATTCGACCGAAATGCACTTAACAGGCACGTATACAGGGGGTTTGGGGTTCAAACCCTATAAAATAATTTCTTTGAAAATTAAGTCAAATTATACACCTATTATTATAAAATATTTTTATTACTTGCTGTTGACTTTTTTCTTTGTTTATTTGTCGGGTATGAAATACAAGTTTATATTTGTGTTATAATTGAACGATTGAGATGATTACTGAAAACTACGCACATATGAGAACTTTATCATTGTGATATATATATAACTCACATTTTGTCAATAATCTTATATTATTTTCCGTAAGTACTCGATCAGTTACCGAAAATTTCTATTGAAATGCTAATCTACGATAAACGATCGTGTTCAGTTTTAAGCCGGGTTCATATAACACCGTGCCGTGTCGTGTCTTCTAAAATAATTATCTCTGATTGGCTGAACCATATTGTTACATCAAGGTATACTGTATAATAAATCACAAGTTACCTCACTAAACATAAGATACCGTGAAATTGATTTTATCCAACTTTTGAACGTGTGGTTACCGATTTTAAAAGTAATAATTTAATATTCTATGATAACATTATTCATAATAACAAAGAACTCGGAAGGTGTTGCATTTGCATGATTTTATTGAGCTATTTAATTTATTGCTAAGTAACCTTGAAATTATTTTTATGACACTATGAAAAACCTAATGGGAACATTTTGAAAGAAAATTTCAAATTTCAAGCTATTTATTTTGTTTTATTTTATCATATATATTTATACCTAGAAATTATGTTTAGCTTAGTATAATATACTAACAACATTTTTATTGTTACGTACGAGTTTATTTAATAAAATATCTTTATTTTGAAAATTTTTGTGTTAAAAAAAAAAACTAAGTGCATATTTTTGAAGCATATTTATACTTTTTTAAGCGCATAAGTGCATGCATATTTAGTACTTTTTAAGTTCCGAGTCCCAATAATAAAAAAATACATACTGTCTACTATATAATTTAATATTCATCAGTTATTATTTATTGAAACTTATGAAAATATTTTATATCTAATAAAAAAAAACTGCGAAAATATGTAACCAAAACTTGATAGTATCACCATAAGATATATAATGGTATCACACATTTTCAAAGCACACAGTCTGGTAAAATACACGTCACGGTGTAGTGTGATCCCAGTTTTAGTCTGTGTTCGGTATTCGAACGGTTATAATCTGCGAGTACCAATAGTGTGAATATTGTTTTTGCGTAACTTATAAAAAGTGATTAAATAACTAAATATTAGGCGCCACCTAATGTTTTTAATGTCATTTTTCGTCCGTCGTCACCGGACGAACACTACGAACCGCTTCGAAAACACCGTGATGCGGATACGTTGAAATGACACACGTACGTCAAACCGGTCAACCGTACTTACACGTATTCCTGAAAGCTCTCAGTGGTGATGCCGTCCGGCCACTCGGCGTAGCATATGACTCGTTGCTCGCCGTTGGGAAACCGTTCCGTGTACGTGGTGAAGAATATCAGGTTCGGTATGGACAGTATCGTGCCCACCACCCAGATGCCGGCGGCTATCATTAGCGTCGTCTTCCGGCCCAGGCGTGGTCTGAGCGGATGGATTATAGCTATGTACCTGCGAAATGAGAAACAAAGGAACAAAATTAAATTAAAATTAAATCGAATGAAACGTAAACCATCGGCCGACAAAATGTGTACGAAGGCAATAGAGAATATTGAAAAATATAAATATTAATAAAAATTTTAAGATTTGAAGAAAATATAATTATGATAATTCGCAATATGCGTGAATTTGGCCTAGTAATTACTGTTAAATAATATTTAATTTTATTTTCAGCAATTTCAGCATCTCCAATATTTGGGCTCTGGTTACGCCTATGCACGATTGTTACTGCATAATGCTCGTAGCGTTTTTTCGCATAATATCCTTGTGGAACGGCCCGGTACATCGTTCGCGTATCACTCTTTGGGTGACATGTTTAGAAAATCAGAGAAGAACTCGCTTGAATCAAATGTACCGCGAGAAATAAGAAACACCATGGTCATCATGTCGACAGCTCTTTACCACTATCTGTCAGGCGTTGAAATAGTGATCAGAATGTTCAGAAAAACGAAACATTAGTTAACATTGTTTTTGAATATCCCTTCGTGGTGCCCGTTGTTGGATCCAAATCGATAAAAACAACATTCTTGATATAATGTGTTTCGAGTTTATTTTCTTTTTTTTTTTTTCTAACGAGACGTTAGATTATTGTTGTAAACGGAATTCGAATTATCATCAGATTCTTTACGGGTTCCCGATTCCATTTAAATAGCACCGTTCAGCTGTACAGAATTAACATGCCGACCAAATAAGATTATAGATTTTTAATTCGAATGTGGTTAAGTCGTTAGTCAATGCGACTAGTTTGTTTTCCAAACCAGATACCAAATAATACGAATATTCAAAAATGCTTCATAAAATGTATAATAAAGTACATGATACTCTATACAAATCAATTGATCTGTTACAGATAGGTATATATATATATTGATTTGATATACACATGTTAGTTATTTGAACACATCAGTATTAACTATGATTTGTTTACTTTTTATTAAAAAATCTGACTTTCCCATCAGTTACGTACGGTATACATATTTTCAGAATAATATGTCTACAAAAATAAATGTGTACGAAGATCGGTCCCTTGGAATAAAGCATTATCGGTCATCAAAAGATTTTTAGCCGTGGGTCAACAAACAACCCATGTAGCTAAATTTAACTTTATTTATTATTTTAAGCTCCAACAAGTTTCGAAATACTTTTTTTGAAATTCGATACCTTTATAAATCTATATCATCAAATAAACTAAATGCATTGGGGATTATCAAAAAGTTTGATTCAAAAACTCGATTTGATAAAAAAAAAAAAAAAACATTTGAGTGAAATTAAGTCCATTTAAATCCGTCACCTCTAATATAATATCCATGAACAAATAATATCTATATATATATATATATATATATATATATATATATATATGTATAGTAATTATCTAGATCATCATCGATGAACTGTTATGCAAGCATCTGCATTAGCGAAAGGAATAAAATCGACTGATTAAGAGGGAAATAAAATAAAATCAAACACAGATTCGAAATGTGTGTGCACGAATAAAACAAACGACTTGTGTTTCTGCGGTCATCCATGTTGTACGTTTTACTAGGTAATAATCCAAAATAGTTGTTGCATTATCAGGACGTTTATACCGTGATATATTTTCGGCCCCGAAAGGATTCTTTTTAGTTTTCTCGAATAATGTTTGGCACCATCCTGGGCTTAAATTGCCATCATAAATTCTTAACTCTATACAACACGTGCGGTCTTGAAGTCTGAAAATAATAGTTTTCGAAAATTATCCCCGTGCACACGTCTCTCGGTTATTATTATAGACCGCATTCAATTATCTTTGTCGTAATAGGCACCTTATCTTGTGAACGGAAACACCCGAGGTTGTACAAAAATGCACGTAAGAACGTATTCCGACCATACATGCCACCCACCGTATTATCATATGCGCATAACATAAATAACAACAGACTGTATAAGTATGACGCGAGTTAAACACTACATGTAATATACATTACGCATAGGTATAACCGCGCACCGTTGTAATGTACGAAAAAGGTTATAGATATTTTATGCAACCAAACAGTGGAGATCGTAATAGACTAACGTGCGTGTAGTCCCTGCCAATGAACCGCGACTCTGAACGCGGACCGAACTGTACAAATATTTACGTGCCACGTACAGTTTTGATGAGAACGAACTCCAAGATACATGTGTATTCAAACATAATATTATAATCTAATACTTCGTATGTGCCGTTTTCCTTTTAGAAAAATCGAATATATATTATTATTAAAAAGTGAATTCTCCGATGCTACGACGTTTGTTTGATTCAAAATCAAAAAAATCGAATAAAATAAAATAGAACCAAGTGAATATAATAAACATATGAATAAAACATTTTCTTAGTTGAATTCACAAATTTACGGGCGAATCCGCGGTGTAATATTTAAATGACTTGCGTTTCCACCAAGTCAGTAAATGAGAAGGTGTCACAAATTAATATCATACCGTTAATTTGATTTGGTTTTGCAGTACAGAAAATGTAGTTTATTACAGTTACCAACAAACTTTCATTCGGATTGTACGTAAAATATTGTTACGTGTTGTTTTTGATTAGATTTTTACTGTGTTTTTCTGCAACATAAGACACATATCAAAATAACTATTTTTTTATTAAAGTTCGTCGTCAAAGTTTCATCAACTATAAAAATTGTTAATTTGAAAATTCCACTCAGACTTATTGTTTTCGAACAGTGTTGATTTTGAGTTGCATTTCTAGAAATATCAAAAAACTTTCGTCACCACGTGCATTCTAGCTGACCATTTATTTTGTCCCCTTTTATTTTCTTATTTTAATTATTCCCTCTATAGTATGCAAAAGAAAATGGAGCACCACTAAAATCTATTTACAATTATTGGTAATTACCAGAGCATGTGATCTATAGAATTTACATAATCGTTTTTTCCAAATAAATTATAAATCCGTTTCAGTTAACTCTTAAGTGAAATACGAAATGTTTTAATTGTTCGTAGTTTAGATACTATTTAGCTTGTGTTTTATATTTTTAGAACTATTTTACGCGTAAATTATTTAAAACTAGAAATATGCTAATAACATTATTGTGACGATCACTTTCTTGTTTGGATTTTAATGGAACGCCCAATCTATAGGGAGCACGAACCGATAACCATTCTACAATTAAATTATACCGGCCAAACATGGCTGTTTTTCCCTGACGGCACTAAGCGGAAAATCTTTGCGACTGATATTCGACGGTTACCTTTTTTCTGAATTTTTTACCATTTTATTTTGTACGATTTTCTTTACTACGATGCGTCTGCCATCGATATGGATTAGGCACCTCTACAAATAATCTCCGGGTGGCGATCCCGCCGGATATGTGCAATTGCCACTGTGGTGAGAAGTAATGTATTTAAATCTTAATTTTTTCCAGTATTCAAATAAATCCTCTGCTATTATTTTGTATTTTTAATATGACATATTTTTTTTATAACTGTTATGTTCTGTTTATGATGGGATAAGCTCCCAGTTGTTTTATTTTTTTATTATGAATACTATGCGTCGCACGAGTGTTGATGCACCTGTTTACTTATTTTATTTTTCTTCCAAGGTTTTTTATCCTCGTTCTATTAATCAATATAAAAAAAGTATAAAATCCTATGAACTCTGGTGAAATTGTCACGGCCCTAGATGGGCGACCCTCCATATATGGCGTTGTAGTTATACCGTCGTATACCGTCATGTGGCGCTCAGGAAAACGAAGCGAACCGAGAAATCAAAATTTATAATTACAAAAATTAAAAAAAAAAAAAATTAAATAATAATAATTGCACATGTATAATTTGTTTTTTTTTTTCCAATTTTGAAATGATTTTCAATGCCTATTTTTTCAAGAGCTATACAGACGTTTTGATGTGTTAATCATTGTGCTTATCGTAATAATATTTAGAGCTACAAATCACGAGCCCTTTTCATTACATAAATGTATACAAAAATTATCTGCATCTGTGCATCGTCACCGGCTCGAAATGAGACGAGTGAAACGCGGGTCTGGTTTTCTATAAACGATGGGCTCATTGTCGACGAATCACCGTGACCGTATTTTTAGTTTAATTTAGCGGGCCAAAATTTGGTAAATCCGGAAAAAAAAACCCCTCAACTGCACCCTGTGCAAAGCAACAGCGGATGAGGTGTGAGTCGGGATGCGGTCTTAATTGAAACAAACAGTTATTTACACTGCTGTACCGCGGGCCGGTAACGCACGCTTTTTAAAATGATATATAATACATTTGTTTAACACGATTTAACTAACACGAGGTCATTATTACCTAAACGTGTGGTTGAAAACACAGGAAGGTTCTTAAACTATATGTACTGCGACATGTTTTGTGTAGTTAAAAAAATGCAACAGTAGCCTAAGCAAATATTTTTGCTGTTTAATGAAATGTTATTGGACCATATACAATTTTATGTTGCTCGCTCTGCGTTTCACTGATTGTAATATTTATTTAAAATATATAATAAATATAATATATAATATACTATAGAATAACAGTATGTAATTATTATTATTAGTATGTATTATGAAATATTTTCGTGAGAAAAATGATACGTAAAATAATTACTCATCGGAAGATCAAAAACGGTCATAGTCTTACACTAATATATATGTCGTTAAATTGATTTTTAATCTGAAAATCAATTTTCAGAAATATAGCCCATCTCCATCGCACTGACTTTAAACTGATCCCCCGAAACATACTTGATATATAGTATGAGAAACCGAATATTTTATACACTGTTAAGGGACGGTGATGAGTGGGTAGTTAATGGATGAAAACTAGATTAAGTTTGTATTGTCGTACTGCAAGAAAGGATGATGATTTTTATTATATGACCTTTTGTAGCATGTATACACGTCCGTATGTAAAACCGCGATTTACATACAACGAAGTCGGAAATGTATTTGTCACAATGT